CTTGAGGTAGGTCTGGTCGCGGCAAAAGAGCCGAGATGCTCGACGTGTAAAACCATATATCTCGATATGCAGACCCACGTACGTCGTACCGTATGAAAAGGGAATGAAATATCCTAGGGCACGTATACACGGTCAGATCAAGATGACACGTTCCTGAGGTACCGAGTAGGACCCCGATCGGATCGATTCGTTCCTCCACGCGTTCTGATTTCCAGGATGGATCGGGTGTCCGTAATGCTACGTCTCGTACGGCGAATAGATATAGATAAATGAAGAAAACATATATACAGTTTTACGGGCGCGCGTGGAGACGATCGTTAAAACTTGGCGATCGAGGTGGCACGGGGATTTTAAAAAAATCATTTGGATTAATTTATCGTTAAAGCAGTAGGGATCGTGTTCGCGAGATCGTCCAAGAATTTAGCTGATAGCCGTATCATTAATTTGCCACGTGATTAAGGAGCGAAAGGTCCCCAGCCAATTACCGGCTGCGTCATTTCTATTTTAGGGCTTTTACGCGAGTAGTCGGGACGAACGAGAGGAACAGGGACGACTGTTTTCATGCGAGCGACGTGTAGCGTTTATAGTCCGGACCGAAGATTCCACGAGGTTTCTGTCTTCATAGTGGATCAAGATTGTTTTGTTGTTGACATTTTTTAGCAACCTCCCTCCCCCCCGCCCCGCGACCCATTACCACTACGATCTTAGGGGAAAGAAAATATTACGGTCGCCCGTCAAAGTCGCGAGTTGAGATTTTACATGCGAGCGATTAAATATTTACGTTGGGAAACTTCGTTACCGACCGTCGGTACGGGACGGTTCGTGTCCGCTGTGAAACGCACGGACTCCTTTGGCCGCACAGAAGACACTTGCCCGGGTCTCTCGTGCATGAAGTTAACCCCGGGGTATGCGTATGAATGTCTGAGGGCGGCTATTGCAACATTGAGCATTACATATTAAAAGGTGTTATTACGTATATCTGACAGGAGCAGTAACGTTTACGGTCTTATTTAAATCCGCGATGCGATTACGGGCGAGATAACGTGAACGCGACGTATAATTATGTACGCGAAGGATATATATATATATATATGTTTCGATCAAAATATCCCGATCGTATATGCAGCGGCGCCGGATTCCTCTCACGCGTGTTACGGATTAACGAGAGGGACCGGGAATACGTAATAACGAGAGTCAGAGGGAGGTGCGAATAGTGTCGCAAGGCTTCCGGTGTTATATTTTTCACTAAAGAATCCATTTCAGTTTCTCTCCTCGTGTATATATCTATATACGAAGGGAGCAGTATATACGTGTACAGTACCATAGGTATAGAGAGCACGTGATCTCTCGAGTCCCTCTCGATACTCCCGACGTGTCCTATAGGTTTTCTCGGTGCTCGAGACTGCCTACTTCGCGATTCGAACGACGTGCCGGATATCTTTGTCGATTTTGCCGGGCTCGCCGAGCGGCCACTTTTCTGGGTAGCCGATCGCATAAAACGCCTAACGTGCCTCTCCGGGGGACGGGGAGCCGGGCACGATGGGGACTCGAGATGGACCGCGGTGGGAATTAAACGGAGACGGAGTAGCATTGATCCAGCATTTTCCCTGTAGGACTGGACCACGGCGGCCATCTTGTCTTACCCGCTCTTATCCGGGCGTGTAGGTGTACGCGGGTATCGTCTTACCTTATATCTTACTTCACCTACGCTCGGCTTCCATTGCTTGCGTGCGTGGATGCGCATACAGCGTTGGGATACAGTGCTTGTGTATATATATATATATATTATTTTTTGGTATACTATCGGCATATGGGTATCGAGCGCGTGCACGCACTATAGACATATATTTTACTATGCCAGTGTAGAATGAATCTTCAACGAAGCCGTACGAAGTCGTTTCGTGGTTCCGCGTGGATCACGGGGCACTATTGGAATTTTCAATAAGTCTTATCGTGGGATGTTTAAAATTCTTTGGACTACCCGTTATAATATAGTCGGACTGCGTGTTATGTCCGACAAGGTAATTGCTTGATATTATATTTAAGACGAAGGATCTTGCGTGTATATATGTATTACAGAGTACGTACGACGTAACTTTCGGAGACCTTACTATACGGTACAGGTATATACGGATGCCGAGGAAGAAGAAGAGTTTTGAAGATCTTCGATCCAACTGAAAACACGGTGGATCAAACGTATACCTGTGTCGGTAAAAAGTGACGCCGAGAAGTCGTCTCTCCTCTCTGTCTCAACCCTTTTTTTCGACGCTCCTTTACTCTCGTACTCTTTCTCTCTTGCTTTATATATAGTTATATATATATATATAAGCACGTATAATACATACGGTATAGCCGCGTATACGGAGCTCTCCCGTATTCCGGATTCCGCGAACCCAACGCTTTTTGCCGCACTCGCGTTATTGCCGCAATTTAGCAAGCACACAAACGCTATTGCGAACTCCGATCTGAAATTTATAAAAAGCAAGAACGCGATGCACCCCGCCGCTCCGTATATACTTTATGCACTTTATGCCGGGCATGCTTGTTGACTGTACGCGCGAGACTCGAAATGGGAGGATGGAACAAGGCTGTAGCGCACTCGTTAGCTCGATTATGGATGTCGGAATGTGAACAACGGGTATCTGTCAAATAAATAATCGACGAAAAGCGGCAAAGCGTGCGAAGTGACGTCAGACGAGGCTCCGGTTGTTATTGTGTATGGCGGCCTTAGATGATTTTCTTTTTTCATTGTCCCGCCGTTGCCGGATCTCACGACGCGACCCTTTTTATTATTTATTCCTATGACTCTTTTTTTTTTTTTTACATTTCGTTCCTCCCTTCGTCCCGCATTGTGCGCGCGTACGTATGCGTACACTTAGGGTACCTCCGTAATCCCCCGTTCTGATCTATTAAACAATGATCATTATTCTTGCGACATTATGCCTAATGGAATCGGACCATATGTATGTAAATGAGCTACTTATTCCGCAAACGCACGCGGTGCCCGATGATATCTGGTAGCCTCTCTTAATTTAAGTGAGCGTAATACCTACGACCGGAGTGGATTATCCGGGTTCGGTTTGCTTTGGTGAAGCCATGCCCCGTAATCCTTATAGAAGTTACTTTGCTTTACTTTATTGCCTTTTTCTTTTTCTTTGACTCTCTTTTTTTTCCTAATTCTTTCTTCTCCTTTTATCTTCCTCCGTTTTTTTTTTTCATCTCCCTTCATCCGCCGGCGACCGCCTTCTTCTTGCGGGAGCGCGTGACTGGAGGCAGTCTCTGCTGTCCAGTGAAAGGATTGCAAATTTTTGGAAATTACGCGGAACGATATTTTCGAAATTTCGAATGTCGCCGTGAATTTTTGGATTTATTGATATATCGAGTCGATCGGGTTTGGACGAATCGGTTTTAATTTGACAGCTGTCACATTTTTATCGATAATTGAAATCGAAAGTAAAAAATTTCAAAGAGCATTCGAACATATACGATGTACGCTATTTGGATTTAGAAGAAAAGTCGGGATTATCGGGATTTTTCATATTTCGTATACTTGCCACGAGTGGGAGAGAGACAGACTTATGGGTAGTCATATGCGTAAGACAGAGTGTCTCGTTGGCTTTTGAAAAACCGTGAATAATATATCGAATCGATTATGGTCCAGGTGGATCTTCGAGTGCATCGTGTCGTTGCGTCCAATGGATCAGTATATATATATATATATATATAGAATCTTGTAACACGTAAATTAGTGTTTAATAATAATAATAATAAAAACGTACATAACAATCATCGTGTCGTTGCGTCCAATGGATCAGCTTATGGGTAGTCATATGCGTAAGACAGAGTGTCTCGTTGGCTTTTGAAAAACCGTGAATAATATATCGAATCGATTATGGTCCAGGTGGATCTTCGAGTGCATCGTGTCGTTGCGTCCAATGGATCAGTATATATATATATATATATATAGAATCTTGTAACACGTAAATTAGTGTTTAATAATAATAATAATAAAAACGTACATAACAATCCCATCGCATCACGCCGAGCGAGCGTGGATCGCGCGAAAAACTCTCATACTCCACAAGACGGATACCGAATTTATAATAACAACAAGCGAAATAAGATGCAGTTGTTTTCGAGACTCCAAGGTCCCACGACGTGCATATCTTTTACGGCGGATTAATTGCCGTTGACTTTTATTTATTGCAAAAGAGCAAGGTGGCGTAGCTGAGTAGTTAATGGTTATTGGTTTGTAATATTTATATAGGTATACGGGCAACGTGTATACGTATATAAACGCATCGTAATAATAAATTCTAGCGAGCAACGTGACTTACTCGCCGTTGGGTAGATGTGTAATAATTGTTAATCGTTCGGATCGCGACACACGTGCGCGCGCCACTTCTCCTATACTCGGTTCGATCCGTCGAGTTACGACTGCGAGACCGAAGGAAGCCAGCAGCGCCTATCTCTTTTCTGCGCTCCCGACGCGTCGCGGAGAGACGTCGACGTTTCCAATAATAAACGGAGCTTCTACGCTGGCTATACTCGGACCGCGTTAACTCGTTATTTTTATAAAACCGAATGGCGTCTATAGCTGTGCAACGACGCGAAGTAAAGTAGCCGCTCGACAGTTTTATTGGGCTCGGCAGTCGAGTCTGAACCCAGCGCAGTTATTACGTGCAGCCACGGTGCACTCTTGGCTCCCTGCGTATCTCGGCCAGACACTGAATCTTCATTCATGCATGCACTATTCCGCACTGGCATTTCCCTTCGTCTCTTTTATTATGTCCTGACCTTTACCGTAGCGCACTTGACATATGCATGCATCGCGGCTCTGTTCCCGATCGGGCCTCGGCGTCGCGCCGCCGCCCCCTGGCGCCGCGACGACGACCGCCGATAGGAGGCATCGCCTGCCATAACGACTGTATGGGCCTGATGATCCGTCCTGGGCAAATAGACGGAAACGGTTGTGGGACTAGGAAAAGAAAAAGACTCACCCTGCACGTAGCGAGGCTGCTGTCAGGGTGAGCTGCTGGGCTGCTGCGGCTCCAGCTACAGGATCAGCCGCGACCAGCTCAGAAAGGACCAGGACGGTCGTGGTGGTCGTGGCTGCTGCGCAATTGGACACGCTCGCACTGACTCCTCGTGGTATATCGTCCTCGTGTTGCAGCTGCAGCTGGGGATAGTGATGCAGATGAAGCGCGGCCGATGTCCTGGATGGACCACAGTTTCCCGGTAGCAAAGCGCCCCTGGCTGCTGCAACGGCTGCAGCCGTAGTGGCCGGTGGCGATGGGGACGGCGGTGACGGGGGCGGCGGCGGATACTCCACCACCTGGACCCTGTCCGCCTCGTTCTCGTAGATGATCTCCTTGTCGTGGGTGTACATCACTGTCTTCTGCCCGTCGTTGTAGATCAGGTCGATCATCTTGTGCTCACCCAAATTCGTACCGGCACCAGCGGCTTCCGGCGTGACCCGATCGTCCTCGTCCGGACCCCTTTGCTCGTCCTGATCCTGCTGCATGTGCTGATGATGATGATGCTGGTGATGATGGTGACGATGATGATGGTGGTGGTACTTGTGATGAAGCGGATGCGGTGGTTCGTGGAGATCGAGTACGTTGACCGGCTGCATCGTCGCCAGCAGGACCTGCTCGTTTTCATTTTGATTTTGATTGCTCAGAGAGGACGATGCTGGCGACACCGGACCCTCCTGCACCTATGACAGATTTGTTCTAGCATTGAGAAATTTCTTATCCCTTTTTTTATTTTTTTTTTCTATTTTTTTTTTCAATTTCAGTCTCGTATACCACATCCTCGATACGTAGAATTTTATTGGGATATGCGTGAGACACGCCAACTGTCACGCAACTCTCTGGACGATTACGCGAAGGACTTCGGAGGAGGTAAGAAGAAGCGTGTTGTAACGTTAACATTTTCGTATGCTAATATTACCAACTGCAATGGCAATTATTAATATTTTCTCGAGTCGACTGGTTACGCGCGCTCAGCCACGAGCACATCTTATTCCGCAATTAATCGTCGTTGCGTGTGCAGTGAGTAATTCTTTCGGTACGTAAAGATCAAAGATACCATACACCGTATACACCGTATACACCGTATACACCGTATAACCATACGGTCGTACCTCGCGTACCTATTCGACGTACAAGGAACAGCGTCGTTCGAGAGGCTCAAAAATATTTGTCTACAATAACAGATAACAGTACCGGACTCCTACCGACTCTCCGACCACGTGTAGTTTACCTACTGTCCCATTCCTGTCTTTCACCCAGACACGTCACTTTCATTCACTAAATCCGAATCTGGATAACCTTTGAACGTGCCTCCTCGCGCGGCTTCGGCAAAAAGAAATGTACGCCATGTGTACGCCTTTGATCGATCCGAGTATTATCCTAGACATTCGCACAGGCTTATCCAATCAAATAAGGCTCTAACATGGAAATCCTTGAACCGCGTGGCGCTATGGGTATTGAAAGGTCAAAGGTCTCCGGAGTGATATTACGAATGATTAATTGTCAGTACTTTCGAGATTCCAACTAGATGCAGTCCCAGCCACGCTTTAATACACTCTGGCTTATTATAAATAAATATATCTGTATACATGTATACATGCATATTGACGTAGGATTACGGACGTCGCCGATTACAAAGACGCCTCGATCTTAATAAGACCGGATGTGTAACGAGACACGAGATTTCCGACATAGTGCCTTTATTTTGTACCGATCTTCGATATACCGACGTCTACCGTATCGCGTTCTGTTTATACGTAAGAACTCTTTCATAATAACAGTTAATTGGCCGACTAGCCTGCGGCCGTGAGAGCCGGCGACTACTGGACGCGGAGTTGGATGCGCGTCCATTTGTTGCTTGCACGTACGCACAGTCATCCGTGTCTCTATGTACAGATGTATCGAGCAGCGGTCCATTGGGAGAACAAATCTTTCTGTGCGAATCGCGCGCAGACGTCTCTTACTATACGAGAAACTTCTCATTCTTGCGGAAGGTACCATTTTAAGTGGTACCCTCTTCGCCATAGTCGATTAATGGCGGGCGGCCGGTGCTGCATGATGGAACGCATGGTAGGTAGGTACTCCGAGAATGATGGATGCAATTTTTTTTTTTTTTTTTTTTTTTTTTTTTTTTTT